TCACGCCATATCCCACCCTTCAAATCGAAACACAGCCATGCAAACACAGCAGCTTCACGGTTGAAACACGAATGGAACAGAGGTACCCAAGCAATCGATTTTTGTACAAAATTGTCATACTTCTTACAATTAAACATAAATAAATAACAATATGTCATAATTTAATATTGGCATTTAGGTATTCGGTAACATTGTAAAAAGGATGTTGAACAAAATATGTCTTTATTTTATTTTTAAATCTATTTCTCAGCAATTGTGTTACTGTATTGGGTAATTTATTGTACATTTTTATTTTTAGATGTATGCCTTGTTTCATAGTTTTTGTGAGTCGTGTTCTTGGTAATTCCAATTTGTCTATGTGTATATACTGTGTATATGTACATAATATTACGCTGTGAATGCCTACAAAATTTACCTGAGTATTATATTAATATAATTAAGTTTCAACTTGACGATGCCTATAGACATTGGGAGATATTTAAAAAAATAATAATATGCAAGGTAAAATAAATATTGTGTATTTGTCAAAATCGAACATATAAACATGTTTTAATTTGGATGCGGTATTTATTCACTATTGTCATGAAGTCCTGGTATAGAATGTGCCACCCATTCCCTTTGCGTGAGTATCGTAAGAGGTGACTAAGGGAACTTAAAGTTTGAGGGATGGGCAACAGCGTCCTACTTAAAACATCACCAAAAAGTCTAACTGTGGTTGCCAATCCGCCTGCTAAGTGTGGCGATTTCTGGCAAAACCTTCCTTGGGGAATGGGAGATTAAGTTCAGCAGTGGACAGTTAACGCTGATATGAGGATGATGATAATAATTGTTGCCATAAATTTATAACAAATTATTTGTTTTTTTTTTTTTAATCAAAAAAGAAAAGTTAATTCTTATGAGAATTAAAAAAAAAACCTTTTAGACTCTACCCCGTGATGAGACCGATGCTCAGCAGTGGAAAATTAAAGTGTGTGTTTAAAAATAAAGTAAAAAAAAAAAGTACCAAAGATCTTAATTGCATTTTTCGTTCCGTTCACTTTCTTTACTCGTTTCATACATCACATTAATACATATTTTCAAATTTGCAAGCTACCATTCGAAACATAATTGGAAAAACGTAGTTGCGGTTATTATTAATCTGTCAATGTATACTGAAATAGCCAATAAATTATGTAGCAAATAAATTAACATGAAGGTTAGCGTTAACGGTCTGTCCAAATTATCCGCTTTCGGTCATTGCAACTACAAATATTGAACAAATCCCCGGTGTAATATCATCCGGAATGATTGCAAATAATCGAAATGAAGTAGTAATTAAACAAAGAGAACTATTAATATTATTAATCTACTTCCGGACCTTATGCCAATTATTTGATTGATTTAATCTAGATAGAGAATTGAATAAATATTAGAATTATCTACAAGATTTGACAACTATATATGTTCGGGGGGAAAGGGATTGTAAGTAATGGGATCTGGAAGTTCCATTGCTAGAAACATACCCTATCAGGTCGACCTCTACGCGGTTCCCCCTGGAAACCATCGTGGTTAATTCTCACGGAATTATTCACGATGGGCTAGCTGACATGCTTTCACCTTCACCTATCACCTCTCACTGGTGCCTCGCCAGCGTATACCGATAACGCAGGCGGGGTTACCATTCCATTTTCACCCATTAAAAAAAAACCATACATGTTCTTAACATTGAACTTGGCTCATTTTTTAACATTTATGTTTTTGATAGAATTCATGTAACACAAGGTTTATTGATATGAGCGTTTTTTTTTATTAGTTACCTTCTTGCGCCAAATTGCTACCGTCGTTTTTTTTTCTCCTCTATCCAAAGGTTGTCTGGAAGAGTACAAAGGTGATTTTGTGAAAATGCATTAACACTTATGACAGCGTATTTCTTTGTATTATTCTTTAAGTGGTGTCAATAAAGAGTAAATTAATACATAAGGTTTGGCTTTTCTAAGAAGGGTTAATGTCAGCCTGACAAAAACCCTCCTTGGAAATGCTTCTGTTGATGGTAATCGCCATCTGCAGTATGAAGGATAGGATTGGGAAAAAAGATGGCGGACATTGGAAATGAATAAAGTTAGTAAATATTTATGGAGAAAAGGAAAAAGAGTAGACTTTGTACATAAGTCGTTTGCTTGGGTACCTCTATCCCATTCGTGTTTCAACCGTGAAGCAGTTGTGTTTGCCCAACTGTGTTTCAGTTTGAAGGGTGTAATATGGCAGTGAATTTACAGGGTATAGAGGAATAACACCTGAGTCCTTAGAGATCGCAACGCATGGAGGGGTATTATGAGCGAAACAGTAAACTCTGTTATGTCCATGGTACTACACATGTATATAGGCGACGGTTACCACTTTCCATCAGGTGGGCCGTCAGCTTGTTTGCCATTCTAAGTTGTATAAAAAAAAGGGTGATACAGAAGTTGCAGAAAATACAGTGGCTTGAGAAACCGGGGTCGCATACCCATGTGCTCGTAATCAAGAACCAGACAGATCACTAGAGAAGAACAACCCAGACAATATATAGTATAATCAATATATTTAGAAATTTTTAATTCCATTTGGAAAACAAGATTTCCATGCTGTGGAAATTTCCAAAAGACCTCGCCACTTAATCCTACGTGCCCAATAATTGTTTGTAGTCAAATATAACAAAATTGTTATTGTACATTTTGCAAGGTAGTGTCTAGACCGATAGATTGTTATTTACAATAAGATATTAATTTTTAAGAAAAAATATTCTTAACTCGTTTGATTTTCATTTTTTGCGACTACCATTCTTTCGGACCGTTTATACGTAATGTCACGTGATTTCGTCGCCATATTGAATCAATTTTTGCAATTAATTTTGCGAATTATAGTGTCTACTCTCATTCAAAAGACTGTTTATTGCGAATAATTTTTTTTTAAATGAGTATGTAATTCCTTGTTCTAAATTTAAAATTTTTATTTATAGGAGGAATTGTATACTGTACTGTAACGATGTGCTTGAGTGCGTGTGTGCGTGCGTGCGTGTGGCTTGCGTGCGTGCATATGTGTGTTCACGAATAAAGCTCATTTTTTGTCCAATTTAAAATCAAAATCTTTTATCTTTTATCTTTTCAATTAATTTGATTAATATATATGGACGTATTTGCCTCTAACTTGCTGGAGTTTCGTCGAATGACCACAAGATATTTTTTTATTTTTTTTATTTTAAACTTTGTTTTCTGTCGCTATGTTTGTGCGACATCCTTCCAATCTGTATTCTTACTTTAACTGTGTATAAAACTGAGGATTTTTTTCCTTATATATAGATTATTATATAAAGTTGTAAACTATGTATAAAAACTAACCACAAGGTGTTTGTGTGCAGAAATTTAGAAATCAAACTTATTTATATGTATTATTCCTTTTTTATATATGTTATTATACATATGATTACCTGGGTGAGATTGGAAGATTGTAAAGTTCACCCAGTAGATGTAATGTAATAAATAAATATACTGATTAATTAGGTGAATTTATTAATCCAATATATAAAATTCTCGTGTCGCGGTGTTTGTTACCAAACTCCTCCGCAACGGCTTTACCGATATTTATGAAATTTTGTGTGCATATCGGGTAGGTCTGAGAATTGGCCAACATCTATTTTTTGATACCCCTACATGTTTTTTATTTTTTTGACAATTTTTATTTTTATTTTATTATGATTTAGCATTGAAAAATACATACAAATTCAAATTTTCACGCTTTTACGATCAACGCCTGTTTTATAATCGTGATTTTATATGCCGCAATAGTCTTGCAAGATTGAAATCGAATATAATAATTGTAGTAGGATAAATTTTCATGTATAATTCTCGAAATAACGTATATGGTAAAACAACGTTTTGCCGAGTCAGCTAGTAATTATATATACCTATAGAATATCTGATATATATATATATATATATATATATATATATATATATATATATATATATATATATATATATATATATATATATATATATATATATATATATATATATATATATTACTGCAACATTAAAAGTTATTCACACGTTACCGAAGTGTTTTTATTTTTCCGACACCGTATCTCCTAACAAGCATATTCAGGGGGAAAGGAATTGTTAGTAATGTGGTCTAACAACCCCATTGCTAGCAACGCTATCAGGCCGACCTCCACACGGTTCTCCCTGGAAACCATCGTGGCTAATTCTTATAGAATTCGTCACAATGGCCCGACTGGCCTGCTCACATCCTCACCTATCATCTGTCACTGGTGGAACACCAGTATATACCATTAGCGTAGGCGGGGTTACCATTCTATTATCATGCATGAAAAGAAACAGTCATCACGCCTACGAATCATGAATATGTATGACTCCGTCAGAACGAATCATTACGTCGTATATTAAATTGTAATTTGCGAAGTATGTATATGTATGTATGATATATATATATATATATATATATATATATATATATATATATATATATATATATATATATATATATATATATATATATATATATATATATATGATATTCTATCGTTATTTATAACGAATCATCAATGACAGATGTCTTTGTGAACGGACCGTCAGTCTTACACGGTTTACTGAACCTCCTTTCAAGGAACTTCATATTAACAGTCTGTCCAACTGAGTCTTTGACACAGTACCCGACTTAACAATTAAAACACAAGTATTGTATACTACGCTCTCACATTTCGTTGTGCTCAATTAAAATTCAAATGCATATGGATACATGGAGAAGTGGGATAGAGACAAAAACATTTTTCAAACTTAAATCTCACCCTTTGATTCCGTCTCCACTGGAAAATACACTTTAATTTGAAATGAATAAAGTCTATTTTACCCAATATTGTTATATTTCAGTTCGTTACAAAATGAAATGTGTAGAGGTGTACGCACACACAGTTTTCAAGGCGCGCATGCGTCCGCCCAACCTTAGCACGGTAGTGACGCGACGCTCGCCCTGCCAGGCGGACGGCTAGCGCCGCCAAGCGGCCGCCACCACCAACCTAAATGTGGAATTCGAATTTCAAAAGTGTAACGTTAAAATGGGAGATAAACTTTTATATCGTTAGTGAATTTTAATATGTGATCGACAGTGATTGTATACACTGCTGGTATAAATTTTCTGAATTTTTAATGCGTGTAGCGGCAGTGCGGCAGTGGCGTGTGGGTTGAAGGTACCCGCGGAAAGAACGGCCTCATACTTTTGATACAGGTTAGTAAATTAAATTACTTTGTTGCGTGCGCCTTTAGGAACTTACGCGTGTAGTTTTCGACCAATTTCCACTGTGGCCCATTGTTTATGATTGACGTGCGGCGCGACAGTTTGACTGGAAAAAATATAAGTTATTCATGTTTCATATAAATTAAGAAAATATATTATTTAAAAAAAAAGGTTAACTTTAATTATTAATTTAACATTTTAATATTATTATTATAAAGTTTTGGTGTAAAATAATTAATTAAATCTGTTTCTTTTTTTATTTATGATTACATAATAACTTACGAAATTTTTTTAATAAAACGTCACAAGTGCAGAATTATAAATTATTATTTATTTATTATTAAGTACTCCATCTAGGATTACAGTTATGAGTTTTTTTTTTTTATTTTAGTTTTGTTAGTTAACACAATTTATAAAATTATTAAATTTAAATTTAAATTATTTAAAATTCCTTAATAAACTATGCTATATTGTATTGATATATTAATCGAAAATAACTGCATATTATATTTTATTTATAATTTAAAATTATTATTTTTGTGTATAGGTGTATACGTGATAATACTTCGTTTTAATTGTAACCCTATAAAAATACCAATGCATAAATAATTAATTTAACTGTCTTTTGTTCTCTACTTTAATTGTGATTGTTCTAATAATGACATTGCTATATTTGTCATGGTACTAAGATGATAATTATCTATATATATATATATATATATATATATATATATATATATATATATATATATATATATATATATATATATATATATATATATATATATATATATATATATATATATATATATATAATGGTCGTACTTGGAATATAAGTTATTCTATTTATTTTTTATCTATTACCATATTACTACACACACACATGTACACGAGTACACTCTTGCATATACCTGTATACTTTTTAAATTTAAGCTTCATTTGAGAAGGGAACGGTTAATGCGTTTTAAAATGTATTCCATTGTCTTTCATTTTTTTTTTTTTATTTTGATTTATAATTAATATTGTTCTTTTATTTGTGCTAATTAGTATTTGAGTCGTATAATTCTATGGATAAATTTTTATCTCTCTTTCTTTTTTTATGAATTATGTCTGACAGTCTCATATATCTAAATATATTTTATTTGATATATCAAATAAAATATTTACAATAATGGACTTGATTTATTTAATAATTAAAAAAAACTCTCGTGCTATTTGCTAGTCTGTATGGATACGAATTTATAATTAAAAGCTTGTTTGCTATTTTTAATTTGTATAAAATATATATTATATTAATAAGTATATTTTATTTTTTATATTAATTTATCTGACTTTATGGACACTCTTTGTTATACATAGTTTCTTTCATACATACACTTACATTACTTGCATACACCCACTCTAACTTGCCAACCTTGGCTTAGAATTAGAATTTTCCTTTATATAAATAAAATCCATTATTGGCTGTATTTATAAAACATATAGCGTGTATGTTGTGTTTTTAAGAGTTGTGGATTTTTTTTAAATAAATAATATATTTTAACTGTGTTTCTGTTTAGGATATGCTGAATTTACTGACTACATTACTAAGTCCTCAGGAATGACAACACTGTGTGTTAGGAAACACTATGACTGTTATGTCCATGGTATCTCATGTTTTACAGTTACCACTTTCCATTTGCTAACCGTTTTTTTATTCTAAGTTGTATAAAAATTAAAAATATATTTAAAATGTTTTTTTTATATATATTAATATATATATAATAATAAATGTACCTTTCCACCTATAGCAGTTATTTTCATAACAGTGTAGGCACATAAAGCTTTAATCTATAGAGAGGGTTGATTTAACCTACTTTCGTTAACTGCGCGGACTATCAGCCATAAATGCGATAAGATACCACTATACCCACAATAAATAGTAATTTGACAGGTTTATATACGAAACAGTTATTTATTTACATGTAGGTTAAAATAATGTACTAACGCAAGATTTACTAAATTTCCGAATAGTCGAGAAATGTTTCTGGCTAATCCATTAAGGGTTAAGGTCGGGGGCATATTTATGTTTATTTTATTGATAACAAATTATCAATTTTAATATTTATTGTTGTAAAAAGATTTGATTTTTTTTATTTAAATATAATATATAAATTAAATATCTATCGACCGTGCTTTTTTATTGAACATTTTTCAATAATTCGTCTAATATTGTTACAATAAACTGTTAAATAAATAAATATATAATAAAAATTATTATTAAAAAACGTTTATTATTAAGTTTACTTGAATAAAAAATTATTTTTATTTTGATGTTTTTTTATTTATTTATTTTTAATATTCTATATTATATTAAATTTAAAATTAAGTTCGTGTAGTCCCGGCATAAAATAGGCCACCCCTTCCTTTCCTCTAGATGTCGTAAGAGGCGACTAACGGAACTTAATGGTAGAGGGACAAGCAGTAATGTCCCTCTTAAAACATCTGTAAAAGCCTAACTGTGATTGTCAACCCGCCTGTTAAGCGTAGCAACTACTGACAAAACCCCCCTTATGGGGAAGGCTTATGTTCACCTGTAGACAGTTAATGGCTGAAATGATTCTGATGATTATATTAATTTTAAGTTTATAGTATACTAGCGACCCGCCCCGGCTTCGCACGGATGCAATGCTGATACTAAATATGCCTACCTACTACAGAATGTCCTTATAAACAACGTTTACAGCTTTTTTGTCATTAGGCAATACAAATATGATAAAGGCTATAGTTTCACCGAAGGATAAAAAATGATTATTGTAGGTTATCCTTAAGAGATAGACATGTACCATCGTGGACTTTTTTGTTGACCTTTTAAGGTGTACAATACTGTAGTACATTATTTTGATTTATCCCGTGGGGTTCAGCCAGCGTTTGCATAGTAAGCGCAAAAAAACGTGTTTATTTACGACATCACATTAGAAACCTCTAAATTTATCAGTGTTTCTCTACAATATTATGCATGTATTATACATATAAACCTTCCTCTTGAATCACTCTATTTATTAAAAAAAAATCGTTTCAAAATCCGTTGCGTAGTTTTAAAGATTTAAGGATACATAGGGACGGACAGACAGCGACAGCGACTTTGTTTTATACTATGTAGTGATTTATATCAAATCATAGGCTTGGCTTAAAATCGATTTTTTTCCGTTTACTTTCATTCTAATTTGGTACATGTTAAATTTCAATTCGGTGCTCATATTAAAAAAAAAAAACTTGAAATGTCCCTTAATATATGAACAGTATCACAGATGGCATTTTGGAAAAGGTTCAGCACGAGAAATGTTTTGATATTAATAAATAACTTTCGTAACACCACGCCAAGTAGTTTGGGACTGCTCGTGTGGGAGTGGCGCCTTCTGACGTTGAAAGTTTGTGGGCTCCATTTGTTATACACGAACATTTATAAATATATACGGAAAGTACGTATAAAAGTTTTTTAAAAATTTTATTTTACAATTATTCAGGTAAATCAATTTTACTCAAAGTACTCCCCCTGTGAAAAAAAACTGTATTGAAAAAATAGCTGCCCCGTCGAGCTTTTTTTATCTCATTTATGTCCCCCAAATAAACCAATTTGGATTTTAGAAGAAGTCACACGGGGCCAAATCCGGCGAATAGGGGGGTGTTCGGTCACCGTAATGGAATTTTTACTCAAAAACTCACGGACAACAAGAGAGGTGTGGGCAGGGGCATTGTCGTCTGAAGAATCCAACCCCTCTCGCGCCAATTCTGGACGAACTCGTGCCACACGAGTTTGAGGCGTCTGAGCACATCGACGTAGAATTTTCCATCAACTGTCTGGCCTGGAGGGACGAATTCTTGATGGACAATCCCGAACATCGAAAAAAACAATCAACATTGTCTTGACATGGGGGATTTTCTTGATTTTTTTGTTCGTGGCGGATGTCTTCCACTCTTTGCTTTCACGGCCATTCTTGCCGAGTTTCGAGAGAAACTTGATTACGACGCGCTGCTCTTCAACGGAAGCGGGCTCCATGCCGACGGGGTTTCGTTAAAAGGTAACTTCACAGATGGCGTGACAAGCCAGTTCGCACCGCACGGCGGTCAGACCACAACTGAAGCATTGTTAGGGACATAAGGAAAAAAAATTTTTTTTTTCGCATTCCAGAACACTTTTATACGAACTTTCCGGACAGACCTCGTACAAGTGCATGCGGTAAGCTAGGGTCGTCTTAGTCAAAAAAAAAAATATTAAAAAAAATATGATTAATATGAATAAAACAATGGATATTAGACAAGTACCAGAGGGAGACTTTGTACAAAAGTCGATTGTTTGGGTTATCTCTGTCCCATTCGTGTTTCAACCGTAAAGCAGTTTGAAGGGTGCGATATAGTGTGAATTTACAGGGTACAGAGGAATAACACCTGAGTCCTCAGGAATGGCAACGCATGGGGGGTATCATGGGCGAGACAGTATACTCTGTTATGTCCATGGTACTGCTCATGTCTATAGGCAACCGTCGATAGGTGGGCCGTCAGCTTGTTCGCCATTCTAAGTTGTATAAAAAAAAAATTCTTTGTTAAGAATTTGAAGATGAATATAGATCATATAAAAAGTTAAGTAATATAAAAAACAAAAACGAATCAAAACAAATAATGAAAAATACATGAGATTTAGGAGATTAACTTAATATATTAAATAAGTAAAAAAACAATCATAAATCTAAATAAGGACTGGTTCTTTTAATCGAACTTTTAAGTTCCCTTTATCTGAACCAATCTGAAAGTATATTTTATTTATTTATTTATTCATTCATTAAAAATAATTATAACATTATAACAGCAAAAGCCAAATCAATGTTATAAACCTAGTGTGCTAACATACAAAGTTATAATAAGTGTATTTAACCCGACTCGAGATATGTCTGAGCTGCTCTCTGATATCTTTGGCAGGCTCCTACTTAATATATCAATGATGTTTCTAATAT